AATGTTTCCACCTCCGTGCTTGACTGTAGGGATGGTGTTCTTGGGGTCATAGTCAGCATTTCTCTCCCTCCAAACACGGCGAGTCGAGTTAATGCCAAAGAGCTCAATTGCCAGACAGCAACACATAGTGTTGGCCCAGATCCGGCCCACATCTGGCCCGCGTGAAATCCATGTGTGCCAGATGTGGGCCGGATCTGGGCCGACACTTGTTGCTGTCTGAGTTTTGGTCTCATCTGACAACAGCATTTTCTCCCAAGCCTTCTCTGAATCATTTAGATGTTCTTTGGTAAACTTTAAACGGGCCATTGCGGTGTAGTGTGTTAGCAATGGTTTGCTTGGTGACTGTAGTCCCAACTGCCTTAAGATCATTAACAAGCTCCTCCCGTGTAGTTCGGGGCTGATCCCTCACCTTTCTCATGATCATCCTTACCCCATGAGGCGAGATCTTGCACGGAGCTCCAGACCGAGGCCTATTCATGGTTGTTTTGTATTTCTTCGATTTCCGAATAATCGCAGCAACAGTTGTCTCTTTCTCACCAAGCTTCTTGCTGATGGCCTTGTAGCTCATTCAAGCCTTGTGCAGATCTACAAACTTGTCTCTGACATCCTTTGACAGCTCTTTGGTCTTGACCATGGTGCTGGGAGAGGTTGGAATGGAAGATACAGATTGTGTGGACAGGTGTCTTATACACCTAACGAGCTGACATTAGGAGTAACTTCTTAAAGTGGCAGGGCTAATCTGTGTTCCACATGGGCACATAACCAGTCTGTGGGAGCCATAATTCTTGCTGGTTAGTAGGGGATCAAATACTTATTTCACGACGAATACGTACAAAAACACTGCGACTCACAAGACAAAAAACACGAAAACACATTTCTTGTTATGTACTTATGTAACCTTTACCTAATTTATTTCTGGATTTTTTTTGGTTGATATTCTATCTCTAACTGTTAAAATAAACCTACCATAAAAATTACAGACCCTTCATTTCTTTGTAAGTGGGCAAGCTTACAAAATCAGCAGGTGATCAAATAAATATTTTCCCCACTGTATGTATACACTTTTGTGCCCAAGTGGTACATAATAGCCTATAACAGAATATGCTTTACTATAAACAAACAAACAAACAAATAAACTAATATATTCCATATTTTGTTATCTAAAAAATCCCACAGATAAATAATCTCATATTATGTATTTTTCTTTTTCTTTTATATAATAAAACAGCCCAAATACATATATTTAATACACGAGTTTCACAATTTGAGTTGAATTACTGAAATGAACTTTTCCACGACATTCTAATTTATTGAGATGCACCTGTATACAATAAAAAGAGGAAAAAAATATTTATGTAACAAAACAAGTCAAGGACAAAAAAATATGTATGCATGTGTGTTTGATGATTAAGTGTGTCTTTTATTACAAACAAGTGTGCGCTCAGATACAGACAGAGACTGTGAGTAAGCACACAGATATGAAACACACATTGAGTTTCATTCACCAATAATTGCTCAAGAGACACAGTGGAATGCAACAACGAAGACCAACCCACCTGAATATGAAGATAAAGAGCATTAGTAACATACAGAAGGTGGCCACATTGTCCATGGTCTTCATCAGGACCACCAGCTGTCTGCGCAGAGCTGGCATGAACCGCACCAGCTTTATGACCCTCAACAGTCTGAACGTCCTCAGGACGGACAGACCCCCGTCAGACTGCCCAATGATCTCACATACACTATACACAAACACACAAAAAGTGTTGCTTATAATGTAGAAATATATATACGTATATCATATAAGGGTGTTTAACTTCGGCACTTTTGTGTCCAAGGGGTACACAATAGCCTATAACAGAATAACGTTTACCTGAACACGACATTAAAACTGACATTTTATCTTGCCTTCATCATTAATTTTTGCTACTCCAATACCTTTTACATATATTTTTAATGACTTTAAGGTGTGGTCACATTAGTGAAATTTCATCAAATTTTCACAGGGAAAAACCGTCTAGTTTAAAGGTCACCTATACTCTTGTCCTAGACCTAGACATTTAATCTTAAACTACAAAATTATTATTTCGAATGCTATGCTTAAAATGCTTAAAAGACAAAAATAAGCTATTTGAATATTTATTGTGTGAAATTATTGATATAATTTTTTGACTGGTGCCACTTGTAGTTTCACTAAACCAAAAAATTGTTGCCCCTAAAAATGTTTTTGCCAAAATGTACATGGTTACCAAGTAAACAACCATGTCAGTACAAAGCATACTTGAGATTAAATGTGATGTGCACAAAAAAAAAAAAAAAAAGGGTAAATATCACTATTTTTGTTGAGTTATTTCAGGTTAAGCTGTTATTTTGTCAAAATATTACCCATAATGATTTTTTTTAAAGACATCCTACAAACTATAAAAGTGAATGCACTTACCTGATGATCACAATAATGCCATCAAATATGTTGTAGGGGTTTCTAAGATATTCAAAGAAGCCAAAGGCAGTAAGCTTGAGGATCATCTCCAGGGTGAACACACTGGTAAACACTACGTTACAAATCTCCAGGACATTAGTCAGTTCATCAGGCTGTAGACAGAGAGAGAGAGAGACATTGAGGACAAGCGAGCATTTGGGAAGGATAAAAGAAGAGGTAAATGTGGAGAGGTCATTTCAGATCACCCCACTGCTGTTCAAGAGATTGTGTGCATTGTTGCATAGACAAGACCAGCTCTTGACAGCAGGGGTCCTCAGTGAGGCTGTGACCTCTCATATAATGTAAAGATCAGAGAAAACTTAGTTTAAACCTGAACAATTCCTTGTGGAATGTCAGTTAGAAAAAGATCAGGGGTGATGAGAGTAGACTGATACTGTATGTGAATTGTAAGTACTGCATGTCTGCAGCTTATTCTGGCCAAGAACTGCTCACTTAGATAGGAAGAAACTGTCTGACTGACAGGTAAAGTGACCAGTCATTGATCGTTTTGTTTTTATGCATTGTTTAGGGGCAGATTATTTGAAATGGTGAATGGTGCAGAAAAGCATGAAGTCTCTGTGAACATTTGGAAAACAATGTAAAAATTGCTGTCAGTCCAAAAATAAGTACTATTAGAAGACAAACAAATTCAAAACACAAAGCTGATTCTGCTTGTGAATATCTTTGGTTATCTACAATAGTTAACTATGTAGCTATTTTACCTCAATCAAAATGCTGATGCCCATTGCACGTTTAAGTAATACACAAATATGATATATAAAGTAACTATATATACACACTACTGTTTAAAATGTTGGGGTCGGTTTGAATTTTTTGAAATAAGTCTCCTATGCTCACGAAGTCTGCTTTTATTTGATCAAAATACAGCAATAAACAGTTATATTCTAAACTAGTATTACTATTTAAAATAACTTTTTTCTATTTTAATATTTTTTAAAACGTAATTAATTCCTGTGATGGCAAAGCTGAGTTTTCTCCAGCTTTTCTCCAAAATCCATTTAAAATAGCACATTGAACTATTCTGTAACATTATTACAGCCAAAAAAGAGACAATTCTAACTGACCTCGAACTTTAGAATGGTAGTGTAGCATTACTACTACTACAGTAAAATACAAACTAACCTTGGTACCACATCTTGTTTCCAGGCAAATTAATAATATCCTGTGTGGTCTTGAACATTGTATAAAGCTAGCTATTCAGACTGTAGCTGGTGATTTAAGCCAGTGCTTGCCATTTTTGTGTGCACTAAGCATCAGTGAACAGACTGTGGGTGGTCCATCGAAAGCTGAGACTAGTGTAAGATCTACTGCGCTTAGAGAGGGATCAACAGACCACCATGATCTGCTTCAGTCCATGCTGTGTAATCGGAAATCACATAAATCCATTATACCTTATCTCAACTGATAACACTATACGGTGACGTGCACAAGTGAGAAGGTGGCCTAATTCCAGGGGAGCGAAAGCGAAATCTGATTTGAGAACACTGCCCCCGTTGTCCCTTTTGTTCTTTCTCTCTCCCTCCGTTTATTGATCAATATCTTTCCACTGACGAGTTAAGGCCGAGAAAACAACTGAAGGACGAATGAAAACTAAACCACAGACAGCTCCAGGGACATGCCATTTAGAGAAATGTAATATTGACACAGCAATCAGGAGCAAAATAACGGCAAAACAATATGGTAAAAAAACACCCATAGCCTCTCTCCCGTTTCCATTTTTATCACTCCTTTTTTCTTTGTCCTCCAACAGGCTGTACTGTAAACTGCTCTTAAATCAATCTATTATCAAACCTATTTGTACAGTACTTAAAAAAGCTGTAAGCAATTTTTGGTAAACCATAACAATAACTTAAATTGTCACTACAACCCAACAAATCACTAAAATATGATAAAAATCACACCTATTTTTCAGCCAATCTGAAGACTTTTAGGCGTTTGCTGCCTGTCAATCATTTGGAGTGTTCGTAGACATGGTGGGACACACACACACACACACACACACACACACACGTGTCCCCCGCACTTTTAGTAAGGTTATTTTGTCCCCCGCACTTTGTTTTTACCCACCGTCGATATTTCGATATGTCCGCCGTGTTCTCTGATTTGTTTATTTAGATATGAGTGAACTAACATTCAGCCAATCACAAGGTGAATCATCTCTTGGGCGCTTCTGTCATGAGGTTCAAATCTCCTGTTGCTCTCGCGATTTCACTTTGCTCTTTGGGCAGTTTGGGGTAAAATGCACCCCAGAAAAAAGCAGATGATTACGTCCTTTTTCAAACACTTTAAGTATGTGTTATGTCACGATGACACAAATCACGCGATCGAATTGCTATGTTATGATTTGATCTAACCGGGGCATCTACACCAGATGCGAGTGATGCGACAAAAGAACCCGTTAAGAACGAGGCTTGTGACCTCGCGCTGGATCCAGTGTGTGTTCCTCTTCAGGAACTCGAGCTGCGTCGAGGAGGACGCTTAGGGAACGCCCTTCAGCGTGACCGGCTCTGAATCCCGTGTGTAATCAGTCCAATAGATGGGCGAGACGTCACGGGCGGGTGACGTAATGACCAGGAAGCTATAAAAGCATGTGCGGTGAAACCGGCGTCAGCTTTCTGTCATTCAGCAAGCGCTCTGTGTGTGTGTCGGTCTGATATCTGTTGTGAGTCTTATTTGATGTTGTTTTGTCAATCAGGAAATGTCAAAAACACATGATAAAAAGAAACACATAAGGGGCGAGGGCAGGCAGTGTTTCAGGCTGTGTGTTTCTCCCTGTCCACGTTATATTACGGGTGGGGATACACACAGTTTGTGCGTTGTCTGCCTGGGAGCGGAACATGCTGAGTCAGTTCTCGAGAGAGCTGACTGCCCACATTGCGAGCGTCTCTCGATGCATGTTCTCTGCTCCCGGAAGGCTCTCTTTGCGGAGGGAGCCTTCTCTAGCATTCCCCGTGGCGCTGGTCCCGCTTCCGTCGAGGCGGAGTGGCGATTACGCTCGTGGGGTTCGCAGGTGGATCTGGTGGAGGGAATGGAGACGGGCGAGTCCCTATCTTCTTCCTCACCCACCAGATTCAGCGCCCGTTCTCTGGGATCGGAAGCCCGCTCTGCGGTTACTTCCCCCCGGGGAACGTGATCGACGCTCCGCCTGTCTTCCTGTCTTCCTTGATGTGGTGGGCGTCGATGAGGATTGGCCCCCGCAAACGCCCCAGTATGAGGAGCTTTTAGAGCTGGTAACTCGTGCGGTGGCCAAGTTGAACATCGATTGGCCCGCCGAGAAAATGGCTGAGCCGCAGAAAAGCAAATTAGATGAGCATTTTCTGCGTGTTAAGCCGCCACCTCCGCGCCGGAGCCTGCCTTTTTTCACCGAGGTGTCGAGGTCGTGGGGAAGACCCTTCTCGGCCCACCTCTTTATCCCCGCCTCCGATTATTATGGCAATGTGGCGGGGATGACTGAGCGATAAGACGATGCCCCGGGTAGAACAGACGCTCGCGAGCTATCTGTCACCTGACGCGGTGTCGTCTTTAAAGGCTCCGGCATTGCCTTCAAAGCCGCTACTTACAACATCAGCGCTGGTGAGAAAGGGGTACTCAGCAGCGGGTCAGGCTGGTGCGTGTCTGCACACCATGGCGGTGTTACAGGCGTACCAAGCCGACCTCATTAGGTTCAAATCTCCTGTTGCTCTCGCGATTTCACTTTGCTCTTTGGGCAGTTTGGGGTAAAATGCACCCCAGAAAAAAGCAGATGATTACGTCCTTTTTCAAACACTTTAAGTATGTGTTATGTCACGATGACACAAATCACGCGATCGAATTGCTATGTTATGATTTGATCTAACCGGGGCATCTACACCAGATGCGAGTGATGCGACAAAAGAACCCGTTAAGAACGAGGCTTGTGACCTCGCGCTGGATCCAGTGTGTGTTCCTCTTCAGGAGCGTCGAGGAGGTCGAGGAGGACGCTTAGGGAACGCCCTTCAGCGTGACCGGCTCTGAATCCCGAGTGTAATAGATGGGCGAGATGGGCGAGACGTCACGGGCGGGTGACGTAATGACCAGGAAGCTATAAAAGCATGTGCGGTGAAACCGGCGTCAGCTTTCTGTCATTCAGCAAGCGCTCTGTGTGTGTGTCGGTCTGATATCTGTTGTGAGTCTTATTTGATGTTGTTTTGTCAATCAGAAAATGTCAAAAGCACAGGATAAAAAGAAACACATAAGGGGTGAGGGCAGGCAGCGTTTCAGACTGTGTGTTTCTCCCTGCCCACGTTATATTACGGTACACACAACACACAGTTTGTGCGTTGTCTGCCTGGGAGCGGAACATGCTGAGTCAGTTCTCGAGAGAGCCCACATTGGAACATGCTGAGTCGGGTCTCGGGAAGGCTCTCTTTGCGGAGGGAGCCTTCTCTAGCGTTCCCCGCGGCGCTGGTCCCGCTTCCGTCGAGGCGGAGCGGCGATTACGCTCGTGGGGTTCGCAGGTGGATCTGGTGGAGGGAATGGAGACGGGCGAGTCCCTATCTTCTTCCTCACCCACCAGATTCAGCGCCCGTTCTCTGGGATCGGAAGCCCGCTCTGCGGTTACTTCCCCCCGGGGAACGTGATCGACGCTCCGCCTGTCTTCCTGTCTTCCTTGATGTGGTGGGCGTCGATGAGGATTGGCCCCCGCAAACGCCCCAGTATGAGGAGCTTTTAGAGCTGGTAACTCGTGCGGTGGCCAAGTTGAACATCGATTGGCCCGCCGAGAAAATGGCTGAGCCGCAGAAAAGCAAATTAGATGAGCATTTTCTGCGTGTTAAGCCGCCACCTCCGCGCCGGAGCCTGCCTTTTTTCACCGAGGTGTCGAGGTCGTGGGGAAGACCCTTCTCGGCCCACCTCTTTATCCCCGCCTCCTCATGGACGCCCCGCTTGCGCCTTCAGGCCTGTTCGGCGACGCAGTCAATTCTGTCGTCGATAGGTACCAGGAGGCTCGTAAACAGGCGGCGGTGTTCCAGCGGTTCCTCCCGCGCCGCTCTCTAGCTCTGGAGGCTGCTGGGCGAGAGCAGCCCCCTCCGAGTACCAGCTCGTCATACAGGGAGGCACAAAAACAGAGCGTTGCCTCACGCTCTGGGTCGGGGGCCTCGAAGTCTAAGCCGGATCTGCGGACCGTACTTAAGACTAAGAGGTCCTCGGCCAAGAAGTCCTGACACTACTGGCCCAGTCCGTCTCGCCTCAGTGCCCTCAGGAGATCGGTCTGCTAACCCTGCCGGAGTTACAGGGCGCAGCAGTCTCCAGCGAGCGCCACTCTCAGTCACCGCCCAGGAACGTAAAATCAGCTGCTCTAGAGGTGGCAAGCCTAGCACCTTAGTACTAGCACCTTAGCACCTCCGCAAGGTGCTAAGAGGCTTGCCACCTCTGCGGAGGTCTCTAGAGCAGCTGATTCGGTTGTCTCCTGCCGGTCCGCCATTACAGGGCACCGAGCTAGCTGCTCTCATTACACCAGAGGTCAGTCTCGAGAGACTGATTCCCTTAGCAGA